TTGAAAATTAACCCCCTTTTATTTCACTTCATTAAACTGCACACATATTCATAATTATCAAGTAGGAATAAATCTTAGCTAAGCTGTGTCAAGTTCGTGATTAAGTGATTTTTCTTTTGTTATGCACTGCTTTAACTAGGCACAGAGGTGAAAATATGCGATTCTGACTGACATTTTTTATGTTCTCCACTTGGCATGAAAAACATGTCATTCAACAGCTAAAAGCCTGAACTTTCTGAATATTAAAAGTTTTCGTTCATTTGCCGAGTAATTCACGTAGAATAGCGCGCTGAAGTTCGATTACCTTTTTTTTATATACACCCTGTAGATGTGTTGTATAAAAGTTTCATGATAAGTTCCAGATGTTTTCTCAGTTTTCGCTAAGTATCAATATTAAGAGTGAGAGGCTGTTTATTCAAGTCGGGCTTTCGGCCCTAAACTACACGTATTACCAAATTTCGAAAGTGATTTTTGTTTATTCAAATGCACTACGCTGATGCAGTACTCATGAATATTTAATTTCGCACGGCTGAGCCTAAGATGCGCAAAACTTCAAATACACTTGTGATGGTTAATGAACTCTGCAATGCCTATTATTTTCAAGTACACATGTAAAAACGCACAAGTTGTAACAAACCTGCAGCAGACTTGTAGCAATACTAACAATTTGTCAACAGGATGTGTTCGCGCACAGCTTGTTCCCAGCTTGTTGACAAGTTATCAAAGGCTTGTTTACAACTTGCTACAAGGTTGTTGAGTTCAACACACTTGTTACAAGTTGTTCGTCCTGCAATTCAACAATTTTTCAACAAATTGTGAGTGACAACTTTGTAGCAACTTGATAAAATAACAGCATTGTTACAAGTTGTTGTCAAGCTTGCCAAAAGCCTGTTGCAAACACATCTTGTTGACAAGTTGTGAGATTTTTACGTGTGTAATAAGTGCTCCGAAAAAGCACTCTGAAATCTGCATTTATACAAGAATATTTCCTTACGAAATCAGTTCAGGTGTGTTTAAAAACGAAGCAGTTTCAGCTATTTGTTTGGGTTCAAGAGGCAACGATTGAGCGTTGCTCTCGATTAAGCCCTGCACCGATTGGACTCCGTCTTCAAATAAGCGCCGCAATTTACACAACGACGCGGCGCTTAATAGAAGCACTGTCAGCCAGAATTGTTTGAGGAGTCCTACCGCGGTAGAAAAACGCCATGGGTACGAAACTATAACTATAACAAGCTCTCCTGTATCACAGAATAAAGACATACAGAAGTGTAACTTCCATAATAATACATAAAGATATTACTCGACTGTGATTGGTTGATTTCAGTGCAGTTAATCCCAAACAGCAGTGCAATTTTCTGTAATCACAGTGCAAAAATCTGTAACAAACTGATCTGATTGGTGGAAAAACATTGTGATGATTAAATCAACCAATCAGTTTAAAGCAATTCAGTTTAAAGAAGTAACGGTCACAGATTGCTTCAAAACAAAACAAACATGGCGCCGCGCTCATAAAGTAAAAGTTGCCTTCGCGTGGAAAATATGGCTTTTATCTTTATTTTTAAATATAAAATATTTATTTTAAACAAGACTAACAAAAATTACATAGTTGAGTGGAATTTTCAAGCTGTTAGCGTTGTATATAAATGTGATATAACAAAGCCAGGAAAACTTTGCCAGTGGAGTGTTCGCTGCATTAAACGTAAGTTAAGACTACAATTGTCTCGAACATTTTTATGTAAATTATTAATAAGTAATAGCATGGTTTCTCGTGAAATTTGGATAAACATGCACTCGTGAGTTTTTCAAAGACCTCAAATAGCACTCGTCCATCGGACTCGTGCTATTTTGAGGTCTTTGAAAAACTCACTTGTGCATGTTATATCCAAATTGCACTAAATTGCACTCGAAACCATGCTATTACCTATACTTACAAAACCGTAAGGCGCTTTTTTACCGAAATAGCTGGCGGCCATGTTCTTAGCAAGTGCCCTAAAGAGAGGCCTTCACCCCCCTGGAATATTAAATTTTCAATATATTTTCAGGGGGTGACTGCCTCTCTTTAGGGCACTTGCTAAGAACATGGCGGACTGAAAAAATCCCTTACGCGAAATTAACCTGAAGTGAGATCTCTGTATGTACTTCCTCTGTGCTTGTATATCAGCGATTTTATTTCAGTTTTCGTTTTTTGCTGACATGTCTTGTTATTTTTCCTCTCCCCTTCGCAATGAAAATAATAAAAATAAACCTCTGGAACCAGGGTACTTGTTACCTTGCATAAATAAAACAGTTTACAAATAGCGCCGTCTCGAAGCGCCACAAAGAGCGCCGAGGCATTTAAACGGGCATGGTGGAAAACCCGTATTTTCCGCCTGCCATGAAACGTGTAAATACGGTAGGTTGTAAAATACGGAAAATATAGCCTTGCGAAATTTGCAAATTTTGTATTAATAATTTGTATTACGCACGGGAATTTGCACCACTTTCGGTCTATGCTTTCGGCCCAAATGTGGTGCATTTTCCCGTGCGTAATACAAATTAATACAAAAATTTGCAAATCTCGCAGGGCTATATTTTCCGCATTTTACAACATTTCGCGGCCAAACTTTGCAATTTTACTAATTTTAACATGCTCTTTCCAGCTGTGGTGATGGATTTTGTTCTTCTTGCTTAGATCAAAATTTAGTCTGACTATTGCCCATTCCAACGGGGGTAAATGTTCCAATAGTAGAAATGTCGTATAGGGAATTTCCCCTAGAAAACGCAGCTGCTAAAAACTGATTGTAAAAACTTTCTATTTCTTTACATAAACTGACAGTATATAAAGGGTGTTTAAAAAAAAGTGACACTATAGAAATTATCAGTATTCACTATTGTTGTTAAGCACAGAATTTCAATTCAATATCGTCTGACGCACTCTTGTGTTCAGCATATATAGTGCTCAGGCATTCAAATTATAACAATAGGATAATCTCCATAGTGCCACTTTTGGGACATCCTAACCATAATTCCAGTGACAGTGGATCGGTTGCCAGTGGCAGTACAAATGACATTAAATTTCATAGCTTATAGTTATTGTTTGTGGTTCACTTGATTCTGAAAGTTAAAAGGTTATATTGTTATGTTTTATGGTTCACTCGATTCTGAAAACCAAACTGAAAGTTAGTATATGAAAACCAAATACAATTATGCGTTTACAAAATGTGTTACCTTAACAGATTTGTTTTTTCCAATGTAATTCAATTCTTGTAACGCTAACCAATCGATCCCGATCTACTTATGCGGTGAACAGATTATCTGCCGAATGAGTAGATTGTGTAAGGTATATAGACTGATCTTGCCGAGACAATATTCAGGCAGATAATCTGTTCAGTTAAGGTAGACGAGTATTGAGGTCATTGAGCGTAATGTACGTACACCAGCCTTGTACCCACGTAAAATTATAAATCTCACAACTTGTCAACAACATGTGTTCGCAACAGGCTTGTAGCAAGCTTGTCAACCGAAGTTGTAACAATGCTGTTAATTTATCAAGTTGCTACAAGGTTATCACTCACAACTTGTTGACAAATTGTTCCAAAAACTTGTAACAAGTCAAGAGGCTTGGGAACAAGCAGTGCGAATATATTTCCGTTGACAATTTGTTAATTGGAACAGATTGCTACAAGTTTGCTGCAGGTTTGTTACAACTTCTGCGTTTTTACGTGTGTACCCAAAGGCAGGCGAGAATTGAGAATAATCCTGCTATATATAGGCGTATAGGACAGAGGGAGGCTGCACCTGCACCCCAATATTTTTTTGGTCTGGCAATTTGTACAAAAATTTCGGGCAGATCGCGTTTAAAACTTGGGCAAGTCTACTTAAAAATCGGCTAACGGGCTAAATGCATGTTGCAAAATTCTTTCATTGATATTGATGTTTATTTGATTTTGATAAAGGGTAAAACATTCCGATATATTAAGGACAGTCCTCGTATAAAGAATTCCCCAAATCTGTCGAGAAACAACTATTAATAACTGAGGAAATTATAAATGGTTTATTGTTGTAGCATGTTTACTGTACATCAATGGATTGTCAAAAAGATCTTTTCTTACGTTATCAATGCTATCCTCTGTAAAACGATATAATTATTTCCTGCATGGCAATATTTCCCACCATGTAGGCCCTATATAGAAGCAAAGTTCATTCTGGAGGTAATTCCTCCGATATGGTAAAATTCCCGTGTAGAGAATTCTCAGTGTATCACACAAAAACAATTTCAACAAGCTATATGGTTGCATTTTAATGAAATTGTTATTGTACATTCCACATGTGTTGGTTAGATTCGTCTACCTGTATGCCGCGTATAATGTGCTGCATAATAATTTTGAGGGAGCAAATATTCCGATACTAGGAAAATGCCGCATAGGGAATTCCCCTAAAGACCTCCTGCCATTCCGTATCAATGTAAAGATTGTAAAAAACATTTTTCTGTGTTGGTGTTGTGTACTCAGGTGAATAATACGATGCTTGTGATGTTACTCTGAGTGTATATCCACACCGGGCGAGCTTGAAAAATATGCCCGGCCACGGTGGGAATCGAACCTATCGCCCCCCTTTAGAAATTTCGCCCCTCCCCCATATAAATTTTGAATTTTTTATCTAAAAACAAAACGATTGCAAGTTGAAAAGATTTATTGTGTGATTTATTTATTTATTACAAGGAGACAAAATTACATACACATTTTAGGCTTCTTAGCAGCTGGTGGTGTGCACAGTCTGCATAACCACTCATTTGAGGTACTTAGACTAGTGTCATATTCTACACATCTAAAGTGGAACCATCACAGAGATCGCATAAAATCATGTTGTCGTATTCTTTTGGGCCATTCCATTTAATATACACACCCCCCTATGTACGAGGCCAATAAATTTTGAACCCCTAAGAAGAAAAGATCAAAGTGCCGACACAAACACCCCCCCAGAAATTAAAGGGGAAGTCAAGTCCGTTCTGCGCATCGGTTCTGCGCATAACAATAGAGGGCCCTCTGAGGTAAACATTGCCCAAATTTTGAATGTTTCGAATTTTTCTGAACACAAACTCTATTTCATATTC